GGGCCGTCTGCGTGCGGAGGGGTTTTGGCTCCAATTCCCAGCCGGGGTTCCCGAGGGATCCCCGGGTGGGCGGCTCGGCTCGGCTCGGCTCGGCTCGGCTCAGTTGGCTCCGGCGTGGCCCCCACTTGCTGGGCCCTCCCCATGCCCCGCCCTATGGGACCGGCCCGACGCGCCGCCTTCAGTTTCGATTCCCGGCTGCTGCAACTGCGGAACCGGGAGCGGCGGAGAATGGAGCTCCGGGGGTACCAGCGGGAGGCGGCAGCCCCGGCCCTGCGCGGCCGCAACAGCATCGTTTGGCTGCCCACGGGCGCCGGGAAGACCCGCGTGGCCGTCCACGTCTGCCGGAGGCACCTGGAGAGCCGGCGGGGCGGCAAGGTGGCCGTGCTTGTCAACAAGGTGCTGCCCTGCCCCAGGACCGCAGGAGCCACGGTGGTGGTCCTGGCCGGTGCTGAGTGTGGTCCTGTGGGCACAGGTGCACCTGGTGGACCAGCACACCGAGAAGGAGTTCTGCCAACTGCAGGACACCTTCAAGGTGACGTCCATCAGTGGGGACACCAGCCACAAAACTTTCTTTGCCAACCTGGTGAAGAAGAACGACATTGTCATCTGCACAGCCCAGATTCTGCAGAACGCGCTGGTCAGCACGGAGGAGGACATGCACGTGGAGCTGACAGGTGGGTACTAGACTACATATTCTGCCGGCCCCACAGCTGTGGCTGAGCCCCCAGCTAAGCAACCATCTCACCCTGCTCACCGCCCTGCCCGGAGCAGATTTCTCACTGCTGGTGATAGACGAGTGCCACCACACGCACAAGGACGCCGTCTACAACAAGATCATGCTGAGATACCTTCAGCACAAGCTCAAAGGGGAACAGCACCTGCCACAGGTCCTGGGGCTGACGGCATCCCCTGGCACTGGGAGGGCTACATCCTTTGAGGAGGCCGTAGAGCACATCCTGCAGGTGCGTCCTGTGGCCCAGTCCTGCGTCAGCAGAGCTTCCCCTGGGGTTCAGCAGGGTGTCCCTTGGGATGGGGGTTGATGCCCAGGTGTGTGGGTGCTCGGTAGCCCAGAGGAGTCATCCCCAAACTCACCAGGTTGCCAGCGAACACCACGTGCTGTACTGTCCTGGGCAGCTGGGCTCAGGGTGGAAGCAGGCTTTTTGCCTCTCAGATCTGTGCCAACCTGGACACCGAGAAGATCACATCGATGCAGGACGAGGTGCATCGCCATCTGCAGAGCCATGTCCCCCAACCCAAGAAGCAGTATGACCTGTGCCAGGAGAGAGTGCAGGTGAGGGAGGGCTGCTCGGAGCCATGGTGGAAGATGAGACCCCCAAGCCTTGCTGGGTGGGGGGCTGTGTTCCTTCACCTGTTTCAGTCATGCCAATCAATTGACCCAGGGCTTTGGTGCTGGGGGATCCTGCAACTGTCTGGGTCCCGCCATGCAAATAGCCACAATTCCTGGGTCCTGAGCCCCTCCCTGCTCCCAGGACCCCTTTGGTGAGCAACTGAAGAAGGTGATGGTGCAGATCCAGCAGTTCATGGAGAAGCCAGATCTCCCGCGGGACTTCGGCACGCAGATTTACGAGCAGCGCATTGTGGAGTTGGAGAAGAGAGGTGGGGGTGCAGCGTGTGGGTGTGGCAGGACTGAGCCGCGGGGACAGGCTGTGACTCTGGTGTCCCCACCCAGCTGCAGAGATGTTTTGTCGCAAGACGCGGGTATGTGCCGTGCACCTGCGCAAGTACAACGACGCTTTGCTGATCAATGACACCGTGCGGATGGTCGACGCCTTCCAGTGTCTCCAGCAGTTCTACAGCACTGAGAGGGATGAAACTGACCCCACTGAACAGTTCCTCACCGCCACGTTTGAGGGTAACAGAGGGGCCTGGAGGGGGGTGATTCTGGCTGTATTTTGGGTTAGGGAGTGTCCCTGACACCCTGCTCACCTGTGCAGAGAACAGGGCGAGCCTGCAGGCACTTGCTGGGGACCACCGCTATGAGAACCCCAGGCTGGGCAAGCTGGAGGAGATCCTGCGTGAGCACTTTCAGTCCCTGGGCACTTCTCGTGGCATCGTCTTCACCAAGACAAGGCAGAGTGCCTACAGCCTGCTCAGCTGGCTGCAGACCACAGCCACGCTCCGTGGGAAGCACATCAGGGCCGCTGTCCTCACTGGTGCTGGCTACAGCAACCAGACCAGGCACATGACACAGGTGACTGGAGGGTGGGCAGGAACTGAGCCCACCCCACTCTGCACATTTTGGGGGTGCTGCCCAGGTCTCAGAGACCTGTACAGCTGCTGAAGCATCACCCTCCTGTCTACCCAGAATGAGCAGCAGAATGTGATCAAGCAGTTCCGTGAGGGAGCCCTCAACCTTCTCTTCTCCACCAGTGTGGCCGAGGAGGGCCTGGACATCCCCGAGTGCAACATCGTGGTCCGCTATGGGCTGATGACCAATGAGATCTCCATGATGCAGGTGCTGCCCAGGCTCCTTCTGGCCCTGCCAGGATCCCCCAAAGCTGCGGGGGTGGGACATGGGGGCTCTTGCATTCCCTGCAGGCAGCTCCTTGGGGGTGAGCCCAGCCTCTGGCAGAACATGTCCTTGGCAAGGGGCGGGAGAGGGTGGAGGTGGCTCCATCCTCACAGGGTAGCACAGAAGGGCTGGCTGTGTCCCTCCTCTACTGACTGCAACATTTGGACCTTGCTCTGCAGGCTCGGGGCCGTGCCCGTGCTGAGAACAGTGTCTACTCGGTCCTTGCCAAAGCCAACAGCAAAGAGGTGACCCGAGAGCTGCTCAATGAGGACCTGGTAGACCTCATGAAGAGGGCGATTCAGGCAGTTCAGGCCATGCCTGAGCAGGAGTACCGCCAGAAGGTGGGTACTGGGTGCTGCCGTGGGCACTGGCAGGGCCAGGCAGCTCTTGCCCCCCCTCTGCATCCTGCATTTGGCTGCCTGCTCTGTCTCAGGGAAGCACTGGATTCTGGGATGGGGTCGTGTGAGGGGCATGGGGCAGCGTGTGCCCACCCTGCCCTGCCTGCCCTGCTCTGTGGCTTGTGCTCCTGGGGTGATGCATTGCTCGGTAGCCATCGATCTTGCTATGTCTGCTATCTGTCCTTGCCTGCAGTCCTGTGCTGACCCCTGTCCCCCCAGATCCGGGAGCTGCAGAAGGTGGCCGTAGCCAGCTGGCTGATGAAGGAGGCCAAGATCAGCGAGCGGCGGCAGCTGCACGACCCGCACGCTGTTCGCCTGTACTGCGTCAACTGCAACACGGCCGTGTGCCGCGGCAGCGACATCCGCACCGTGGAGGGCATGCACCACATCAACATCAACCCCGAATTTGGGTAGGAGGCTCTCATGGGCAGGGGTGGGCAGGCAGATGGGCAAGGGTAGCACCAGCCTGCTTCCAGCTCTTTCTTAGGGACCTTAGTACAGGGAGATTGCAGGAACTTTGACTACGGGAGCACCTGTGCTGCCCTGTTTGTGTCCCCTGGATCACCATCCTTACTGCCTGGCGGCCCCTTCCTTCCAGGTCGTATTACAGAGTTTCTTCTGGGAAAATGCAGTTCCAGCGGACTTTCAAGGACTGGGAGCCTGGCTGCCGTATCTCCTGCAAAGCCTGCAAGCAGGTGAGCACCACACTTCCTCCATGTCTGCAGCCCAGCCAGAGCTGGAAGGACAGGAAGGGCTGTGCCTTGTGCCCCAGCTCATAGCTGCACATGCCTGTGTCATGGGTGTGCTGCGGGGCATGCACACAGGCTGTCTCCAAAGGAGGGACATGCCTTGGGAGCAAGGAGCTGCCCCATCCCTGTGTGTGTGGCCCTGCAGCCTGGCGATGCTGTGTGTGCATTGGGTAACTGTCCCCTCCCTGCCCACACAGGACTGGGGGCTGGAGATGCTGTACCAGCAGGTGAAGCTGCCTATCCTCTGCATCAAAAACTTTGTGGTGGAGACACCAGCAGAGAAGAGGAGGTACAAGAAGTGGAGCTCTGTGACATTCCCCATCAAGGCGTTTGACTACGTGGAGTACTGCTCTGACACCTACAGCCTGTCCTTCTAGCACAGGCTCTGTTCAGAAGAGAACTATTCACAGGACACTTTCAAGGTGCTACATAAAAAGGGGAGGCTTTCTCGACCCTTGGACAGAGAGCCATGGCTCACTCCTCTCTTCCTCGCTTGTCTGAGCTCCAGCAGCACGTCCCTAGCTGGAGCCCATGGCTGCTGCACCCACATAGAAAGGATGAGATGCTGGCATCAAAAACCACCCAAACCCTTCCTTGCTCCCTATGCTGCTGCCTTCTCCTCTGCAACCCTGCCAGGAGAACCATCCGTTTCTGTGGGTCCAGGACAAAGCCCAGTGCTTCTCTACTCCAGTTTATGAGTTTGATGTGTCTCCATTAAAAACTGACATGCTAGAATGAAGTGGTAGGGTGGCGGCATCACTCGTGGCAAAAGCTGGCTGGGCACAGGAGGCTTAGAGGGTGGACATTGCCCCGGAGCCAGAATCCATTGTACCCTGTGCCAGCAGAACAGGGGTCTTTAAGGGGACAGTGGAATCTGTGAGCCTGCCCAGGCCCTACCCCATCTCACCTTCCCGAGACGCAGAACGAGCCTAAAGCTCTCTGGGGCAGCCCCAGGGATCCCTGCGGGGTTCCAGGTGTCCCCTCGGTCTCACCTGGGAGCGCCCTGGGAAGCCTTTCTGTGTCCGAGCTGCGGGACAGCCGCGGGGCTTGCGGCAGGACTCGGCACCGGGCTCGGGCGCAGGACCGGGCCGGGTTTGGGGAGAGGGATTCGGTACCGGGAGAGCAGCCCAGACCGTGCTGCCCCGCCGCCGGCCGCTAGAGGGAGCCCCGGGCCGGGCCGGGGGATGCCCGGGAGCCGGGAAAAATTCTGGGGGGACCGGGGGATGCCCGGGGAACCGGGGGATGCCCGGGGAACCGGGAAACAATTCGGGGGGGCCGGGGGATGCCTGGGGAACCGCGGGATGTTCAGGGAACCGGGATATGATTCGGCGGGACGGGGGAATGCTCGGGGAACCGGGAAACGATCAAGGGGGACCAGGAGATGTTCGGGGCACCGGGAAACGATCCGAGGGGAGCGGAGGATGCCCGGAGAACCGGGGGATGATCCGGCGGGACCAGGGAATGATCCGGCGAGCACAGGGGGCTGCAGCGCTCGCACCTGCCGCTCCACGCGTGTCCCTTTCCCGCGGGATCCTGCCACACGAGTTGGTGCTGGCCCGGGGACCCCCCGCGCCAGTAAGCAGCGTGGATGCTCGGCAGGTCATGGGTGACTCCATGGGTGGCGGGGAGCTGCAGAAGGTCAAGGACATGTGCAGGGGCCCAGAGTCCTGCTCCTGCCTGACTTTGGTACCAGAGGCTCCCGCAGTGTCAGGCACATTTTTAGGTAGAGATGGCCCCGGGGAAACCAAACTCCTGTTCATCAGAAACTGGGTAATGAGGCCGTTTGAGTTATTTGTAGCTCCTTGTGGGCTGGGATGGCCTCTCCTCCCACTCCCTAGGCAGGATCCCTCCCGCAGAGACCCCAGGCCGTTTCGTTCAGCTCAAATTGCCCTGATTTGTGCCTGGAGAATTCACGTTGTGAGTTAGCCCAGTGCGTGCCCACAGCACTGGGTGGTGCAACCTCTTACCCTGGTAGATCTGTCTGTCTGCTTGGGTGCCCCAAACCAGAATTTCTGTAACAAAACTTGCTCCTTTTTGATGGGGTGCAGCTGACTTCATGGGGTATGGGGCCAGGACAGCACTGTGAGTCTCAGTGGGTTTTGCAAGTGGGTCTGTATCCAGCCTCTGCTGGTTCTTCCCTCTGCGTCCCTGCTTTAACGTCAAGCTGCATCTGATTTCTCCTTCCCAGGGGCTCGGTCACCTTGGGGCTGGCGGCAGGGAGCAGCCGAGCTGCAGTGATCGGTGCTGCGACCTTGGTCGGTGTCCTTCAGGCCTGGCATCCTTCTGAGCCAGCATCCTTCAGGACTGGCATCCTTCAGTGCTGGCCTCCTGTGGCCAAATCCCCAGGCTGGAAGAAGTCTGTGGCTCGAAGCACCTTTGCTTATCTCAGCTCCCCAAAGCACTTATGTTCTGGCCATCACAACTTGCTGCCTGTAAGCAGAGATGGGCACCATTAGTCCCGTAGCAAACAGCTGCTGCAGCAAGTTCTGCTGGCAGAAACACCGTGAAGAGGTTTGCCCCTGGCCCACAGGCTGCCAGCATGGGCACAGCCCCAGGAGTGCCTGTGGCCTCCTGCCCCAGCACCCCCCGTGCCCCTGGGTGCGCTCACAGAGTCAGGGCAATGCAGCAATTTATTTTTCACAGCTCATTTCATTTGTCATCAGTGCGTCGGAAAGCACGGATTCCTCTCTCAAAGCACCAGCTGGAAAACCTCCGTCTCCTCCACCTGGCAGCGCCTCAGGTCAGCCCTTTCCCCAGGCTGGTGTTTAGTGGGACTTAGCGCTCAGCCTGTTCGACTTATCGGGAAGGAGCCTGAGATGTGACTTGATTACAGCATGCAAGTGTCTTCCTGGGGAGAAAACTGCTGGGTATTAAAGGGCTCTTTAACTTGGCAGAGAGAGGAATAATGAGAACTGGGGCTGAAAGATAAAGTCAGGCAAATTGAAATTTGAAATCCAGGGCAGGTCTGCAGCAAGGAGGGCACAGAGCAGCTGAAGCAGGACCCCAGGAGCCTTTATCAAAGACATGCCTGGGGCTGAGGGTCCTGCCCTGCGGGTGGCTCCATCCTGCTTCGTGTTTCTGGCTCAGACAGCAGCAGGATGAGCAGCAAGAGTCTGGTCGCATCCTGGGTGAGGGGGATGGGAACTAAATTTTGCTTCCCAGGCACATCTGAAAATCTGGCTATTGCACAGTATCTCTTCCAGAACCCGGGAGCACATCAGACCCCGAGGTGACCTTTACCGGGACAGCTGGAGTTTCCCTCTGTACCAGGGGAAATTCCAGTCCTCAGAAAAGTGCTTGTGGTGGAGGTATCAGATCCCGAAAACCAGAAGCTCTCTCCCCATTTTGTTCCTGCATCCCCTCCGGTGCCGGGAGCGCATGGGAGCCCGCAGAGCGTGCGGGGGCGTCCCTGCCCTGCTCGGCCCCGCCACCGACGGCCGAATGTCGAACGATCCCGGCGGGGAGTTAATCCTGACTGTTCGCATGTCAGGATGCTGGTGGATTAAACAAGGGGATTAGCATCAAACAATTTCCCTCGCGCCCCGATCGGGAGGCAGGAAATATAATCACTGCAGGTTTATTCTGCTTAGGTTAAAACAGCTCCCGGGCATGTAGCGTGCGATGCCATCCGAGCCATGGCACAGCGAGGGACGTGCCCGGGGCATCGCGGGAGCACCGGGACGAGGAGGTCAAAACCAGGGGCTGCTCATCCCAGGGGAATCAGGGAGGTGTTCCTGCTGCGTGGCACTCAGGTGCCATCTGAAGCCTGTGCCTGGTGTGGATTCCACCAACCCAGCCATGTGGTGCCAGTGCAGAGGAGCCATCCTGGCTTGGGGAAACGGCTGCAGCCCTTCACTGGGTGTCCCCAGGAGGGTACAAAAGCCGGGACTGGGGAGACTCCAGCCTCCCACAGTCACTGAGCCCCCTGGCACCGTCCTGCTGGCTGCTCCTGCCAGCCTGGGCTCAGCTGCAGATGGCAGAGGATAGAACAGCCTCGAGGATGTGAAGGCAAATCTGTTTTCCCAACAGCTCCTGGGTTTCCGAGCCAGGGAATGGTGATACTGCTCTGATCTGATGGCAGCAGTGCTGCAGGCTCCCAGCTTTCATCCCAAGTTTGGTGCCCACCTGCAGTCTCAGGGTCCCCTGTCAGCACTGCGGCACAACACTTTGCTTTCAGCCTAATCCCGAGGTTTTGATGGAATAACCTTGTGCAGCACTGGCTGGGGCACAACAACTTGACTTCTCTTCAGACCAGAGCACTGTGGGAGCAGCTGGACTCACATCCCTATGTCCTCACTGGCTCAGATCTTTTGGTCCCTGGAGGTTTCTTGGCTGCTTTCCTCTGAGGAACATTCCCAGGGCAGCCAAATCCCTGGCCAGCTGAGAACAGGACCATCACACATGCCCACCTTGTTTTTCTAGGAAAGGGCTAAAAATACCATTCCAGGGCTGTGTGGAAAGGCCTGGGCAGATCCTCAGCTACTGGGAGTCAAATGATTTACAGCCCTTAGCCTCTACATGATCCCAGTGACTGTTCAGGGGACAGTCTGGGCCAGGGCATGTCTCTATGGGGCAGAAGAGCAGGGGAGCTGCAGGTCCCCCCTTCCTCTGTGCTGCTGGGGGTGGCCACTGTCCTTCTTGTCATGTTTGGGTGACTCTATTTGAGCTGGGCATTGCAGGATGTGGCAGGGAGGGGATGCAGCAAGGTGAGGTAAGACCCAGGGACAGCTGGCAGGTGCTGGCACAGTCTGGGATCTGCTTGGGACCCCTGGCACGAGCTGCAATATCCGAAAATTCCCAAACAAAATTTCATGCACTAAATCCTAGGGCTGCAATTCTGCTGAGACCTGGCTTTATAATTGGATCTGTCAGAAACCCGTCACACTTAATGTGCAGCTGCCAGCATGCGTGCAACTCCTCAGCGACTGCGCTGGCTCTGCTGGGCACCGGGAAATCTGGTCCTGGGATTTTCCAGCTTGAGGAAAGGTCTAGTTCGTACCTAAACCTCTAATCCTGGGAAGAGGGCAGTGCAGGCCAACCCCAGTTTTAACTCGAGGTGCTCCCTCTGTGCCAGAGAAGGCAGTGGGATGGGGATGATGCTGGTGAAGCATGAGAGCCCAGCGTGCGTGTGTGTTCTTCACCTGAGTAATCAAACCCGTTATGCAGTGTTTGATTAAAGGCCACAAAACATATTATCTTTGATTCTTCCACTTTATTTTTGTTGCCTTCATTTGTCCCTTGGAGATGAGAGTTGCTCTGGTACTTATTAGTCACAAAGCCCCATCCTCGCGCTGCGTTCCTGCTATCTGAGAAATGAATTATTAATGGTGCATTAAACAGAGACTGGAAAGGGGCCCTGGGACACTGATAATCAGGAGCTAATTGAGGAAGAAATGAGATACTGCTCCCGTTGGAGAACGAGGACTGTGCAGCACTGCGATACCAAAGGTGACCCTGCTAAAATTCCTGGGCCAACTGCGCCCAGCTCTGCCTGCTCAGCCCTCGCTGGTGGGTCATGTGTGCACCTGGCAAGGATGTTCTCCCTGGCTGGGATATTCTCCCTGGCTGGGATATTTTCCTTGGCTGGGATGTTCTCCTTGGCTGGGATGTTCTGCCCTGGCCAGGATGTTCTCTCTGACAGGGCTGTTCTTCCTGATAGGGATGCTCTGTCTCAGGCATCAGAAAGAGATCAGACAAATGCATTCATGGCCCTGGAAAGCTGCTCCATCCGATTTTGATGGCATGACAAAGATCCTGGGGTGGCCAGGAGTGTGGGCACAGGCAGCTCTCTGTGTCCTCAGGGATGATATCCCACCTCAGTGATGGCTGCTCAGGATGCTGGATCCTTCCGGGACCTCATCTAAACTCCTTCACAAGTGACTGGGGCTAAACAATTCCAATCAATTTTGTTTGTCCTCCCTTACTGTTTTTCCACACATCTTTCAGCTGGGGCCTGTCAGATTTCTCCTCTTCCACTCTGGCTGCATTAAAAGCTCACCCCAGCCCCGGCACCACTTGCCTCAGGGGTCCTGTGGGACATTGCCAGAAGGTCTTGAGGACTGGAGAAAGGTGGGAGCATGGGGGATTGTCACTGTCACTGGCCTCCCTGGCCATGGGCTGCTGCTCTGACAATGTCAGGCTGGCATGAGCCCAGAGTGTCCCATCACCTCCCCTCTTCAAACCCCAGGGGAGGGTTGGGTTTAGGACCAAACTGTCCTGTTCCCCCCCGATGGGCTCAGCACCACTCCCTCCCCATACCCAGCTCTGCTCCGACGTCACGCTGAAGCAGCCGCAGTTCACACAGACTCCTTGCATAAATATTTATGCAGTGATGCAACGCTTTTCTAAATATAAAGCTTTATCTGAAATTTCATTTAAACATTAAGTGTAGATAATTTATTTATAATTAATGTAGACATCAAGCCCCATCTCTGGAATGCCTGTGAGCTTTCATTTATAATTGGGAGGTAAGTCAGGAGCTAGAGGCTGGGCTCTTATCAGTTTCATTTTAATTTTCCTCCTACAGCAAATGAAGCTGGTGCAATTCATCTCTCATTAGGAGGAAGCACAAAACTCCCCTAAAATAACAGTTTTATGGGGAACAGGTAATAAACCCATCTCTGTTCCTCTTCTCGCCTTTGATAATGTTACTAGGGCTCACAGATCCCTTCAAAGTGTTGCTCTTC